CACGGATGCAAGGCGCTCAATTCCGGCGAAGGTGACACTACCATTGTCACTACGATGGCATGATCCGCGAACCTGCCATCGACCTCCCGAACAATGTGCAGGCCGCCGCCGCTCGCGTATGGATCGAGAACTCTGAGGGCCATGCCATTGCCAAGGAGGCCTTCGAGTCTACCCTCCCGCTTCGCTACGCTCCAGAGCGTCAAGTGTGCCATGGCCGGTCGCACGTTGCGCGTTCGGTTCAACGACCCGCACTGGCGACGCGATGGGTACGAATACGATCTTCGAGAGCCCCGAGGGCCTCTCGCTTCGCCAAACTCTAGAGCGTCAAGCGTGCCATGGCCGGCCGCACGCTGTATATTCGTTTCACAGCACGCATTGACGACGCGATGGGCACGAACATGGTCTCGAAAGCACGGTCATCCAGGCGCAGTAGGTGGTGGACGCGTGCCTGTCGCATCTTGCATTCACTGACGCGCTCCGCAGATTGATTCGTTCGGCAACGTCATATGTTCCGTACAATCCTGAGATTTGGAAAGACCTCCTGGCCCTGACGGGCGCGCTCGAGCAGAGTCTACTCGACAACTTCGCCTTAATCCGGCCAGCTTACCTGTCCGAGGAAGACGCGAGGAGACGTCCATGCGCAGCGGCTTTGCGGCGCCGACATTTGGCGTGCTACACCTACGACCCCAGAGCCCAAACAGACCGCCGACGCCGTCACGGTCGCAGGGCGGGGGGCGTACTCTCTGCGGGCTTCAAGCTTCGAGCTCTTTGAGCGTTCTCCGCCGAGGAAGTGCACCCCGGGCGTCGGTGTCGCTGGAAAGTTGCCATCGAGCGGGTCGAAGTCGAGGTCGTGCTCGATTCGCCCGGGATCCCGAGCGAGCCGAGTGAACACTCGCGCTTGGAGGTTCTCAGCCTCCGCCAGGGCCTCTGCTCTGTTGCCTGCAGCTAGGAGGAACGCGACGAGTGTGCGATTGCGATCTACAGTGCCAAAGCGTCACTGCTGGTGTCGCTCGACATCATGCGCCTGAAGTTGACGCTGGCCTTATCTGCCTTGGCGAGCCACTTCCGACATGCGCTGTAGGGTCCGCCGTACCTGCCAGGGAAAGAATCTGCGCGAAGCAAAGCGAAGTGGAGCGGCCCATATCGTCACGCTGAATGCCGAGACCGACAGCTGCGCGTGGTGCGATGAACAATTGGCCGGCAAAGGCGGTAGCTACCGGGGCTGTTCTACCAAGGTACGCAAGGTGTCTGCTGTTGGTTATCGACGTTGACCTCCACTTTCTCGGGACGATTTTCGTTGAGGTATCAGACAGCATGAAATTGATGCGGCGGCGCAAGTTCACCCGCGTCTGTGATACCGGCTTCAGCATTCTTTCCTCTACAATGAACCCCACGCCCAGGTCTGTGGCCGCGATAACGATATCCCGTCCTATGCTCTTTGTTCGATACCGAGCTGACGACGAGATGACAGCGTTCCAAGGCTAACCTCCATAGGCCTCTGATACTGCCGATGCCCTGGCGAAATACACCCCTGCGATTGACAGGGTTCGCCACCTCGCAAATACGTGCGGGTGAGAGGCACACGTTCCAGGTGGGCTGGAGAAATACACCCTTGCGATTCACCGATGGATTATGCATACCAATCGTAGTAGTAAAAGTGCCTTTGTCGACCATGTAGACTACAAGGTAATATTCGCAAGGTTTGCCTCTCTGCGCTCATTAATAGCTATCTTGGGACAGATATCTCTGTACCCTTCCGGAAGCTTGATATATGTCCCCTTGTCGGAACTCCCTGTTGCCCAAATACGGTCACTGGATGACCATGGCAGCCATGTCAGCTCACGGAACTGAACGAGCAGTTTTCCACGTATAGTTTTTTGGCCGCCTATTCTCACTTTGGCCGTGAGGACCAGCCATCGCGTCCAGTAACTGCACGAGCCATAATGGTAAGTGGTCTTCGGCCGTTGTTTCTGCATATCGGTGGTTGGGAAAAATCGGTTAAAAAAGGTGGTCTCCCAGGTTGAAGGGGATGCAGTCTTCACTATGGCGCAACGGAACGGCAGCTGAGACGATTGATACAGGTTCTCTGTTGCCTGATTTTGTTCCTCGTGTGGGAGCGTGCAGTAGTTTTCTTTCTTGCTCCGCGGGATAACTGCAACGATATCTCGCAGAAAATCGTGCCAAATGCCGTTGACTTCGCGATCAACATCTCCCGCATCTCCATGTTCGTGGGGTAGTTCGCTCATAGTAAGAAGAGGTCGCAGACTGACGCCAGCATCGGCCAGTCCGAAGTCAATGTCGCGTTCTGGTGAATGCCGCGGCGGGCCAGATGGTACCTTTCGCCGCTTCCTCGTCGGACCTGAGAGCTTACGCTTAGCTTTCTCGCTGCTTTGCATGAATAAGAGCTCGAGTTCTGGAAAGGTGGGCCGGTTATAGATGAGCGCGTAACTGGCTGCATTGAGTGTACGCTGTTCAGGAAGGGCGAATACGTCGTGGCGGTATCTCACGTCGGAGACAAAGTAAAGTCCTCGCTGTTCGATTGTAGGGACCATCCGACCATCAGCTACTATCTCGTCCAATTCGGCCAAGTTTTCATCGTCGTCGGCTTCGGCTTCGGCTTCCCACAAGGCCGCAGCGGATACAATTTCATTGTCCCAGCTCTGCTCCCCGGGACGGAAGATGTGCGAGTTCTTGATCCATATGGCAATAGCCCCCATTCCTAACACTGGCCGTAACACCCGCAGCTGTGGTGACGCTTCTGTAAGAGCCTCGAAAACGTATTTGACGGCCGCAAGCCTCCACCAGCGGAATTTCCTATTCATTTTTAATATTATTTCACCTTCAGCCTAGAAGTATCTGCTTACCACCAAATTGTGGGATCAAATCCAACCACTGCAGAATTGATTAAGTCCCGACGCATATCCCTTAACTTATGCGCCGGGTGCCGGCTTTGATGGATAGCCTTCAGCCTAACCTCGTACCGAGCAGCTCCTTCCTGTTTCACACCGCCATTTCCGGAACAGGTGTCATAGAGGTTACCAAGAGTCTCGATATCTTTAAGGAACCCTCCCATGCGATGCGGCAACAGGTCTTCCGCTCTGTGTCGCCTGAATGAGCCTCGGTGGAGCTGGTATGTGGCAGATTTGTCTGTTGTGTAGACATTGACATACTGCACATAGTCCTCAGCTCCGACAGTTGGAACTTCAACACGGAATCCAGAGAGATCATACAGGAGGGAGGAAATATCCTTTTTGAAGCGAGAGCCGTCAACAGTGGAGGTAATCTTTTCGGGAGCTGCATGGGGAAGGGCATACTGAAGTAGCTCCTGGTGGCAACTTGTTCTCCACTGGAGTACTAAGTCAGGCGATTGGATCTCCAGCCCGATATCGATATACCATTCATTTTCGGCATGAAACATGTTATCCCTATCGATAATCTTGAAGGTATCTTCTAAAGCCTGGTCGCATGCATCTGTATCTTCTGGGGAATGTAAAGTAGCTGATTTGGTTCCTCGCCACTCGTGAACAAAGAAGCTGTTCTTGAAGTATGTGTGGCGATCTAGATTGTTCCTGAGTGCATCACAGAAGACAGAAAGAAGATGAGGGGGGATGTCGTGTCTGCTGAAGTGAAATTGTTGTCTTTCGTCTCTCATGGACATAAGGCATGCACGATAGTTAACCGGCCAGTGAGAAATGGACTGGGGGAGCACAGTTGCAACCGCAGGCCTAAGGCAATTGTCGTAGAACATCTCCAATTCCTCACTGGTGACCCGCTGGTCTTCTCCACGCTGGTACATGTGAGGGAAGAAGACCAGAGTCTTCTGACGCAGTTCGGCTGTGGAAAGACAGATGTTGGGGATCTTGTGTAGGTCCACCTTCATTGGGCGATCCCATTGCTAGGCATGTTATCAGATGGCTTTAGTCACCTCACGGCATATTGAACTGCTCACCGATAAATGTATGAACTTTTTCAGATGGTTGGACTTTGCTAGACTATCCCTGAATGGCGCGGCGGGGTAGACAGCGAGAGGTATTCGGAAGGGCAAGTTGGTTGTAACACCGATGAGAGAGTCAAAGTCTCGAGTGAGCGTGATATTGCTGAGGTCGCTGAGTGATATGCAATCTTTGAAGACATCGATATTGATTCGCTTTTCACCTTGAGCTGTGGATATTCTGCCGGCAAGAGCGAACTTCACGAAGGCTGGAATAGCCCGCGTCGCCGCTCCCTGGTGGATGATGGCTTCCGCGTAGTTGACGAATTCTTGCAAGGACCACGTTTCTGTGGGGAGCTCTTCGTCTGGATACTGGGACATGGTCGTTCACGCGTTCACGTCCTGCGTTTTGTGGAGCTGAAGTAGCAAGTCGATTTATCGTAGACAATGGTATGGTAATAACCGAGGGCGACGTAGCGCTTTAAAGACCAGGCGCTCCGGGGAGGTCAGTTCTTGACTCAGCCCCTTCTCTCTAAGGTAAGTACGGATGTACTGATGGATATTTCGCCAGAATATACCGGTCAATTGACGTGCAGACACGTCAGGGAAGTGCACGCCCATCTCGCTCGCCGTTTGACAAGCTCCTCCACACGACCCAAACCTACCATGTCAGACTATCAGACTACACCAATCGCACCTCAAAATATTGCACCTCAGAATATTGCACCGCAGGACGGTGGCTCCGGCACAGCTCCCGAGCCAGCCCGGGACGTCGAGCCGGCACCGATCACAGAGCAGGAGGTGGGTGAATACCGAGAGCAAGACCGTTTCTTGCCAGTGAGGTACTTGCCTCAAGATTGGTCAACTGCTAAGCTGATGGCCGGTTCAAACAGATAGCAAACGTCTCCCGCATCATGAAGGCATCTGTGCCCGGCACTGCCAAAATCTCGAAGGAGGCCAAGGAGTGTGTGCAAGAATGCGTCTCCGAGTTCATCAGCTTCATCACTTCCGAGGCGGCCGAGAAGTGTCAAATGGAGAAGCGCAAGACCATTGGTGGGGAGGAGACTCTCTGGGCCATGCTCACTCTGGGCTTTGAGAACTATGCGGAGACTCTCAAGATTCATCTCGCAAAGCTGCGTCAGGTACGCTCCGAATTCTTGTACAGCGTGGGATGACCTAGCATACCACTCTGAAGCCCCAGAATCAGTCAAACGCGTCCGGCGCGAATGCACGACCAGATACTGGAACCTCAAGCGACGCACGCGAGGAATAGCTCGTTGTCGCAGTATGCACCGTGTAACACCGTACCAGTCTCACTCTCAGCACTGTTGTAGACTGCTATGACTCTGGCTTCCCAAGAGCTCTTGACGGAAAATGACCTGCGACTCCGCCGATGCTTCGTACTTATCTCGTGTCCTCTGCACGTCGATACTCTCTTGCATAAAATTGTACTGTTTGTACCATACAGCTTGTGACTTCCACGTTAAATTTCACCTTTACCCTTGATGGAATGCTGCTTTGCTTGCAAAGTGCTATAAGCTTGAATACATGCGTAATGACCGCATCGTCGGGCGCCTTAACTCTGACCTTCGCTTCCATCATGCCTTTTGGCGAAGTCGTCTGTGGTGCTCCAGGCAGCGGCAAGTCTACGTACTGCTACGGAAAGAACCAGCTATTCAACGCACTCAACAGGCCCATTGCCATTGTCAACCTCGACCCTGCAAATGATAGTATCCCGTACCCCTGCGCAATAGACATTTCGTCCCTCGTCACGCTTGATGCTGTCATGCAAGAGCACGGCCTGGGTCCGAACGAAGGAATGCTGTATTGCATGGAGTATCTTGAGGCAAACTATGATTGGCTCGAGGACCGACTGAAGAAGCTCAGCGACGACGCCTACGTTCTCTTCGACCTTCCAGGCCAGGTCGAAATCAGCACGAACCACGAAAGTGTGCGGCGTATAATACGCCGGCTGACCAAGAACGGGTTTAGGGTGCGTCATGCGTACATTCCGATGGAAGCTTAGACTGACCAAGCCGTACCCTAGCTAGCTGCCGTACATTTATGCGACGCACACTACGTGACGGACGCCTCAAAGTTTGTTTCTGTGCTCATGCTCTCGCTACGCGCAATGCTACACCTCGAGCTTCCGCATGTCAACGTGCTCTCGAAGATAGACCTGATTGCGCAATACGGCGAGCTCGGTGCGCTCTAGCCGTCGTTCCCCGCCACGTGCTCCACGCTGACATCGTTCTATAGACTTCAACCTCGACTTCTATACCGAGGTTCAGGACCTGGCATACCTGGAGAATGCACTTACCGCCACATCTCCGCGATACAAAGAATTAAATATGGCTATATGCTCTCTTGTAGAAGATTTCGGCCTCGTCGGCTTCGAGACACTTGCGGTCGAGGTCTGTACATCCCTATTCTCATGCCCTACACTGCGCTAACACTTGTACAGGACAAAGAGTCCATGCTCCACCTGATGCGCATTATAGATAAAGCGACTGGCTGCGTCTTCGTTCCGCCACCAGACGCACGGGTTCCGCAGGGTGCAGTGAACAATACTGGTGCTCCGCCGACGCAGAGGCCGAACATGTTTAGCCTCATGTCGAGCGCTATAGGCCCGATGCCTGGACCACGCAGCGACGTGCGCGACGTCCAGGAGCGCTGGATCGACGCGCGAGAGGAGTATGATGAGTGGGAGCGTGCGCAGTGGCGAAAGGAAGGAATTGCAGTACAGGAGCAGGCGCGGAAGAAAAATCACATACGGCAGCGTGGTGTACAAACTCGCGATAAAGATATCCCAATGTCGACTTCATAGGAGTTCATTCACACCGTGTAAATTAGAGAACAAGACCGCTCAATTCAATATTTCAGAACTCTACCCTTTTTCGAGTCCAGACTCTACGAAAGGAATAACACTAAAAACATTTATATGATCTCCTGGAGATAGACTAGAGGGCCGTTTCGAACGCTTGTCGAGGGTCGTACAGTTGCATGATAAGCTGCTTCACACCAGCCATCCACAAACCAATATCATCTGTCATAGAACCAGTCCTGAGGAGGTCGATGTGGATCGCAAGTGCGGACTCGCGATCTCGAGCTTCCATAGCTGTGAAAGTACGCGTGAGCAAGGGCAGAGGGAAATGAGACGGTAACAGGACATACCGCGTGTTAGCTCTAAGAGCTGATCGCAGACCGGTTTCGACAGCATTTCGCAATTGAGAGCGTCGAACAGCGGGTTAATGCGACGTTCGAGGTCATCAGCGAGACGCTTTTGCTGAGGCTTGGAGGCTCATAATTAACTTCAACTTGCACACCGACCGTGATAAAACTTACTGGAGTCGTTTGTTTGACGATCTCGAGCTGTTGGGAGATGATGTTGAAGATCGGCCTCAGGTGATCTGGGATGTGGCTCCTATCGCCGGGAGCTGTTGGCACTATCAGCTCAACGTCTTAAAGTGCTTGGACAAATGAACACATACGATATCTCGGCTGCGGTGGGCCCGGCTTCGCCTTCGGCGGCGCGGAAGGGGCGAGTTGTCCGGACCCAGGAGGAGGCGCCATCGAGGGAGCACCAGCAGGTGGCATACCGAGCCTCGCGGCGCCACCAGGAGGCGGAGGCGCGAACGAACCCTGTTGCGGCGGTAGCGCAAAGCCTCCCTGCGGGGGCGGCGGAGCATACCCGCCTTGCTGAGGGGGTGGAGGCGTATACACACCCGGCTGCTGCGGTGGCGGCGTTCCGCGTGTGAGCGCGGGTGAAGGCGTGCCACGCATCGGCGGCGGCCCAGGCGGAAGATGTGTTGGAGCCGCAGGGGGCGTCTGGTGGGACACGTGGCCGCGAGGCGGAGGCATGGTAAATTGCCCCTGCGATGACGGGCCTCGACTGAGCCCAAGGCCCTGCGATGGCGACATCATGTGCGACGGCGGGGGAGCCGTGCCCTGTGGGGGTCCCTGCGACGGAGCACCATGCGGAGGGTATGGTCCAGGTGCTTGTTGAGGAGGGGGAGGCATACGCTGGCCTTGTGGTGGCGGCGGCGGTCTCTGCTGCACGCTGCCTGGGCGTGGCGGTGGCGGCAATGCTGTCGGTGGCTGTCCATGTGTTGGGGTGGGGGGCATAATGCCCTGCGATGGCGCATTAGGGAAGGGGGATATGATTGCCGAAGGCTTACTGGCGTTTGTATTCGCGTTCGCAGGCGTACGGCGCGCGGTAACGTGAGCAGGCACGTCGTTCCATCCACCGTTGTCGCGCTTGATGACAGGACCCTTCGGCGGAGGGGCTAAAGGAGCTGATGGAGTGCTACGGCGGGGTGGGGGAGGCATAGCAGGCTGCTGATTGGGCACGGCCGGTTGGCCATATGGTCCGGACGGGTATCCGGACGGTGCTGGTGGCTGGTGACCTGACTGGCCCGGCGCGACAGGTCGTGCGCCATATTGAGTAGCAGGAAGAGCATACGCAGGAGCTCCACCAT